CAGTTGTTCTACACTCAGTTCAGAGGAAGGTACTAGCACGGATAGCTGGTCATATAGATTCTCAAATTGGACTTCAAGCTCGAGCTGACAGTTTCTACGACTGGGACAACAAAATTTTGGACCTAGTGACAACGCCTCCAAAAGGGTGGTGTCCAGCATTAACGAAGAAAAATTGTGCACGTACCTTTCGGGATTTGTTGGAAACTTGGTGCATGGTGTCACTGGATTGGGCTAGTTGACGAGTTTCTTTTCCCTGGCGTCCGTCCGTTTGGCAACAATAAGTCGAACATATGCGTTGAAGTCTAAGCGATCGGATATCGTCAGCGTTTCTAGTGCCCCTGCATATTGGGCTTGTTTACGTTCTGGTTCCCGAATATTCCCTCGTATCGTGTCAAACTCACTGCGTGCATGGCGGCTTAGTGCAGTGGCAGTTGGATTGATTCGGCTTCTGGGTAGTATTCGTGAATAAAACGTAGGAATATGATTCTGTTGCATACACTGATTGAGGAATCGTAGCTCTGTTCTGCCTTCCGCGATGTACCTCAGATATTGGGTCTTGCTTGGTTCGATCGCTTGGGGTTAGCCGACACTTCAGTGTCATTTGCAATACAGTTCAGTCTCCCACGGCGCTTCGAGATCATGCATCCGACATTATCAAGCGATTTCCAGTTGCTTTCCAGTCCGGTCTCGGTCAGTGCACTGCGACACAAGCAGTCATCTACCCCCTGCCGAGTGTTACGCCAGTCTTCCGTCAAAAGAAATCAGTCCCGTACGCTTCCTCCCACTGGTAGATATCGAACTTCAACGGCCGCAACAACAAGGCGTTCTATCCCCTGTATCCTACTCCGCCTGGGCGGCACCGATTGTCGTGGTGAAGAAACCCAACGGCGAAATCCGATTTGCGCCGATTTCTCAACCGGCCTAAACACAGCTCTCCAGCAGCACCACTATCCACTGCCAATGCCCAACGATCCACTCACTGTTCTGAACGGTGGAAAGTTGTCCGCGAAAATCTAACTCGCTGAAGGGTACCTTTAAGTTGAAGTCGCACCAGAATCACGCCCACTGTTGACAATCAACACACACCTCGGGCTGTATCAATACACCCGTCTTCCGTTTAGCGTCAAAACCGTACCAAAAATTTTCCAGCAGTTGATAAGCACCATCCTTTCTGGCATTCCAGGTGTGGTCGCATACCTGGACGACGCACTGATCGTTGCTATTTCACCAGGAAAGCTTCTTGATCGGATCAATGCCGTCTTTCTGCGCATTCAGGACAATCGCCTCCATTCCGAGAAGTGGCATTTTTTGACAATAGTGAACTATTTTCGTCTCGTTTTCGACGCCTCTGCTCGTCATCCTGACCTGGAGAACGTTCGAAATACACAGAAGGTGACAGCTCCTGAGGATGTCCCATCATTACGTTCCTTTTTTGCGTTAATCAGCTTTTATTCGGCATTCTTGCCTTCGCTACACGACATTCGACCCCCACTAAATCAATTGCTTGGAAGGACGTCCCCTATTGTTGGTCAGAAGAGTGTGAGATTCTTTTTTGTGTACCGAACAACCCCGAGCAATGCTTTGGTGAGCCACCAGTCACCTGCTCATTGGCCGTAAGCTGAGAACTGTTCATTCTTCCATGTTGCCAACACAGTCTACTGAGTCAAGGTCCATAACCGTGACAACTGGAGCACCATTCAAGGCGAGAGCGCCCGTACTCGTCCGTGATTATCACCCGTGACACGCATAGACTACAGGTTGCATCCTGCGCAAAGGCGGTAGCGTGATGTAAGATGTATCGGTTGGTCAAGACATCTGCACCAGACATCAAAACAGCACGCCCGAAACTCCAGTATGTTCGGGTACCGTGCCGTTGAACATATTGCTCGATATCTTTGAGCTGAAAGCTGACGCGGTATCGAAAGAAGAGAGTGTAACCAGCAGCTCAGTGCTTGATCGAGCACTTCTTCTCAGGCGTTAGATAGACTGATGACGCCACCAGCAGGAACGTATCCGGGTCGACTCACGTCGAGCTCGTTAGTTTTCACAACTCTGTATCTTTGTATGCTAACGAACTTTTGGTATTTTTTCAGCCAAACTAAGGATACATATATTCAGTGTCACTTTTTCTGAAAATCGCCTGTTGTTCGGAGCATTACAGTTGTGTCTAAGGTTTCGTCTTCTTAGCGAATATACACTCATTTGCAAACCAATTTGGTTCTTTCGAGAGACACACCTGGAACCCAGCTGAATCTCTCGTTTATGATGTTTCGTCTTCTTACTAGTCCGCTGTATTATGAGCCGGGATCAGGCAACATAGCTGGGGATAGAATACCGTGTCAGTCCGCTCATACTGTCGTTTGCTCACTGCATTATAAATACATAACAGTTGGCCGTATTCGGAGTTCACAGGACGCATGGGTGGCCTAAACTTCTCGGTACAAATCGCCCTCGTTTGATTTTGAACTGCGTTAAGCTTGAAAATCAAATGGAGCCGATGGATACAATTGAGGCGTATATCTTGTTGGAGGTCAGTTAAGCTTTTATCTTACCTAACAGCCCCTTAGGTGCGACATCTACTCGGAGGGAGCACACCAAGTGGTAATTCTCAATTGCGCTTAGAATTATAGACCTAACCACCACCGTTTCGCTTACCGAAGATGCAAACACTACAGCAAAAGAAGCGATCTGAATACGGAACTTTCAGTATGTTGCGTTTTATATCAGCTCTAGTATGCAGGAGGCAAACCCACTATTCCCATACAGGAAGAGTAAAGAATAGTTATAGCGGATTCTTTGTGTTTCGATTCCAAGTTAAAAAATAGGAGCGTTGTGGAGTTTGATCCGGTTCCTGGTTGTATGGAAGCAGTGTCGAGTTCGTCGATGGGTGCGACAACAATAGTAGGTCGACACAGCGTCCTTTGCCTAGCGAACCAAGAATAATGGCAGTCGGTACAACGTCAATATGGACTATATACCTGAAAACCTGTTGTCGCTCCTTGGACATCTCTTCATCGGACTTTCGACCGCCGGGCGTATCGGGCCATAGAAAGTAGGGATATGAGGCTAACCAGCCATTTCCCTGGGTCTGAACAGTAGACCAATACTGCCATTCCCTGAGACCACCGACTTCGGCTCCACGGTAGACGCAAGCAATGAGAAGATCCCGGACAGATAATGCTTCCCGAAGGTTCGGAACTTCAGCTGAATGGTCCATCACCCGAGATCGGATCAAAATAACGTCCCATCCAACTGAATGTGGATTGTTGGTTAAAATTGACGGAGTTGCGTTTTGCACGAGGATCACGTTCACACCCTCTGAGTTGGATGACTAGAAAATAAAAATATTAGAGTGTAAGATAGGGCTGAAGAGGAATCGGTAGGGGAATAGACGGATCTTATGAAGACCACAGAACTATGGCTAACTGAGCGTGTTCAACAGAGCTGGGGAAAGCCGAGACATACTGATATCAGTCATCACTCGCAACGGGACAAGACACGACTCTGTAGCCGATCTGCTACGGTAGAATTCTGCCCCTGGATGTAAAGGAATCTCGGTCGTTCAATGTACAGCGCAACTGGACGACTTTCAGTCGCGTTGCACAATACATGGACAGTCATCACCGGAGTAGTGTGTATCGCCTAGCTATCGAACTAAACGGGAGTTGTGACCAACCAACTGCGAACAGTAAATCACACACCCCTGCAGATTCGGTGCAGATGGTAGAATATCTGGTCGTCCACGGTGAAACCCTAAGACATCGTTTGCTTCAGAAAAGACCACCGTCTCACCGTCGCTGACCTTGGTAATATTGTGTTATAGTCCTCGAATGTGTTTTCATCCTTCCGCTTCTGCCAGCAGAACACATCTACAGACCCCTATGATAAAAACAAAAGTATTGATTCCCTACCAAGTAACACTTTAGCACACGGAAAAGCGCTTCTGTATAATACTCACTGTACTGTCCACTTCACCGGAACCACACCTTTGATCGGCCTCATCAGCAAGGACTCGAATTAATTTCCGTGTACTTCTCATACAGTAAAACATTACGAATACAACGTGTGGAAGTCCTGATAGCCCGGGTGCGTTAACTGGTTGTTTATCAGAGCAGTTTATGTGTTCGCCGAACTTAAAAAATGGCGTACAAGATTACCACCACCGCACGAACTGACACCGTCAGTGTTCGGTAAAGTACTTCCTTCAAGTCTACTTGCGCCTATAGAGTTTGTAAAGAGTATTTGGTAGCCCGTACCAGATTGGTTGTTCAAAACTTGGCCTGCGGGTAATTGGATTAGTTCAGTTGGATTTCATGTTGCGCCTGTGTGACTCACTTGCATTTGATTGCTTCACTGAGTATCTTAGTTCCACCGGTTATTCTCATTTTCCGATTGGTCTGCTTGCATTTCCTGCATTTCGCATTTTCGTTTCCACCTTTCGATTGGCAAATTAGGCAACTGTTTTCAGGAATTTCTCTTCGATTGCATCGGTGCATTCGCTGTTTTTTACTTTCTGAGATGAAGATATCGCTTAATGTTGATCCGTAACTATGGCCCTCACTAAGTTCCACCATTCAGTAGCCAAGTCTCTTACTGGATGTCTGCCAGTTGTCGGTTTGGAGTGTTGTAAAAAGTGAACTGCTTCTGGCAGTTCTGTATAGAACCGAATGCGTTGCAATATAGTAGCCTGTATTCGCCTACTGCAGGAAAGAGAAGAACGGAAGAATCACTTACTTCAGCTGTTCCTGTGTCAGTAAAAAAGTCCGAAAAGTTGCCGGGTTTGGTTGATCCAATGTAAGAAAATTCCGACCACGACAGTCGAGCTCCACTAGGAGTCCGATGTGTTGTCTCGGATGCCTGATCCTGCGAGCCTGCTGGTGCCAAGATCCAATCTCGGTCACGAGTTTTCAGTGCGGGACTGGAAGCCAGATTAATAAAAAGCTGAATTTATATAAATGAAATTGCTTTCCCAACTTGAAGACACCATATGGCACTTTGGCCTTCACTGAAGCGCCCTATCTTAGCGGTGGATGTTACACCCCACCGTGTCTGATGGGGAACGGTCTTGTGGTCTGTGTTTGGAGAATTGCGTGCAGGAAGTCTGTCTAACTGTGTGAACACACCGGGTCATTGCCGACGATCTCCTATGTGTCCGCGAAAACCTGAGTGAGCTCTGTTGTCAGTTGGCCCACTGAAAACGTTTGCGAAAGCCAAACTAACCCGTCTAAAAATGTGCCTCAGGACTTCGGTAAACATGACACTCAGCGGACCGATATATGCTACGTCCAACGTGAAATAAACACCAAAACGGCAGACAAGACTCGTCAGTGCTTGATTTCTCTCCGATTGTACGACGCCTCCCGACTGCAGGATATAGGAAGATGGAATAAACCATATTCAAGGGCGCATTTCAAGCTAGCTAGCCAGCAGGCACATTTTAAGCTCGACAGCATCGAAATTCTTGATAAACCGTAAAACTAGTTGGTTCCTAGAAGGTAAAATGTAGCCACAAAGCTCCAGAAACAACAATAAAGTGACTATTTTGTGTAAGTTCACAAGGCTCTGCTCAATGATACGTAGCTTATCAAAGCATCGTCAATGGGGCTTGCCGTAAAACTATCGCAACAAACATGCGATTTATTGAAAGACCACATAAATCTCGTTGCGTAACATTCAGAAAACACAATAAGTGATTTGCTCTCTTTGTACCTCAGTTTTGGAGTGAAACAACACAGACTTATGGAACAACCTGATAATAGTCTAGCCCACAAAATAGGTCGTGTCCTGCCTCAGATAATGTGCTGCTAGAAATTTTTCAGTGGCTCCTAGTATCTTGTTAATTTGACCTTTGTGTTTGGTAATGGGCGGAGGACTAGGACACTTCGAATGTTTCATTCATTGGGTTCACCAGAAAGCGTATTTTCAACTACCAGCCAGTACTTTGTACGCATTCACAGCCCTCCTAAAAGTACCCTTTTGCTTGCTTCAAAACCAATCATTGCTTGGCGTTCGCTAGCACTGGTATCAATGGGTCGAAGTTCCTCCACTGACTTACTGCATCCGGGACGGATTGCACAGAGGCTGAGCAGCATGGCCCATTGATGTTTTCACGGTTACCTATAGAATAACAGCAGGATTTGCCATCTTAATACGATTGTGTGTGATCATCCCTGACAGAAAAACTGCAGCACCAAGTGTTATACATCATTTGAGAACATTAAAGAATACACAACAACACTGGATTGCTCGTGACGGTGTCGGCTGGAAGTGGTCAATGTGCCATGTAAGCCACATATTTACGAGTTTTTTTAATTTATTTTCACAGTCAAAGTGAGGCTATGACCATATGAACCCAACAGAACAAGATGCGAGCAGACAAATGACATTAGGTTCGTTACTACAGGTCCCTGGAGCCATATTAGTTAGCCCCACTGGGCGCTGAACATGTGAACACGGCCGTGACATGTAAGTGTACACGATTCAGACTAAGTGATTGTGTGAATCTGCGGTGTCTATTCAAGTATCTTGCGAGTTAAATGCGCCTTTCGGAACTACTACAGAGTTAAGGGAAAGTCATGTTCGACGAAGCCAGGGTTAGTGTAACGATTGAAAATGGTCAGGTAGAGAACCAAAACTAGTTTGGCCAAAGTATTCACACTCAGCCTGCTCTTCAAAGATAGGAGGTTTCTTGGCAAGTGCCACAACCCAGGAATCATACTTCTGAAACAGATTCTGCGTTCCAGTAGAACAGAAACACCACTTACCACAGTGAATGTATCTGACTATTTTTATCCTTCAGTTAAATCATGACGATGGTAACACTCGGGGCGCACTTCAAACCTTGCAACAGACTTGAGAATGACAGCATTCGAGACAAAAAGTTGTCATTAGGGTGTGAACAGAAGATCAGTCTGTTCACTTACCGATTCTCTCGAAATTCCTTGCAGTTAAACAAGAATAAAACAGCACCCAGGGGCATGCAACTGGCCTGCCGGGCCCTCTTCGTTAGTTCCTCCCATAGCTTCCAGTCACCAACTCCAGAGTCCGGATTTTGAGGGGAAAACACGTCAGCTAACAACTGGTGCGACTGACGTCCCAGTGTACAAAGGCGCGAAACTCGACCAGTTAGATTGCGTACACAGATTCCTTCAGTTTGTGAACAAGTGACAAACAACTGCCACGCATCTGCAGATATTTCTGGATGGTTCCATAAGTACACACGGCGATGGCCTTCGTGAGGCTACGATAGGAAGTGACATATTTTCCAAAAAAAATTAGACAACATATGAAACCTGAAGTTAACGATCATACATGTCTCTCATTAACCAGTTGCAATCACGTTATTCAGATGGCCATAGATACACCAGACGTATTCATACGATAAGGACTGTTGTGGTAAGTGCAGTCCATCAACTCAGCTGGAGACACGGCAGAAAATAGACAAACAGCCGTCGAAAGAAATCAGGTAACATAAGTATCATCTAATGTACCATCAGAAGTGATACTGGACTGTTGCCCTCGAACGCGGAAGGGCGTACACAGGCAAAACATGGCAGGTGATTTCCAGTGACTATCTGGATGCGACAGCGTAATCTGTCGGCGTGACACGAACACAATGGAGAAGCAATCCCACCAACTGCACACAGTCGGGGTAGGTTTCTTTGAAGATAAAACGTCTACATGAGAGAGAAGATATATGGTTCCTCAGTGAAGTTCCCCGACCATGGTAAAGGATTCGAAGCAAGGCAAACGCGATCCGGACGGGCAAAGGTATAGAACGACCACAGAGTAGCTCACTAAAGTAATCCCTCTTATGAGTATAACCTGAACAAGTAAAATTCGCCGTGGACAGAGCTCCTCGATGAATAGTCTATCACTGTGATACAGGCTTGATAAGATGAAGTTTTAACACCCGAAGCTTTGCTTTGTTGTAGATGGAAATATTGTATCTCCGGAAATAAACCAACATGACTTGATACTTACTTCATTCCGCGGACCCCATAAAATGCGTACTGGCCCCAGGACTGGTCGGGTGATATTCAGGATATCTTCTGCCTGGACATCAGCGAACAGTAATCCTGGCTGCTCACAGGGAAGGTCCGGTGTTCCGTTGGTGCTGAGGGGCACAGGGCATTGGGTGAATGTGGGACAAATTCGCGATACGCTCTTCAAGCAACTCGCTAGTGCCAGTTCCGTACCAATGAGTTCGAAACAGTTCCAGAAGCTCAAGTCGAAAACCAGGCAACCACTGGCGACGGGAAAGAAATATCACCATGGGACTGTGAAAACCTGGTGACGAGTACTATAAGGGTTCCATACCGCTGGATCAGCGGAATGGTTGATTTGAAAATGATTTGTGGTAAAAGTGGCGTGGCATTTTGCAAAGACGAATAATATATTGAAAGGTCGGCCCTCAAGGAAGTAGTCTGGCCATGATGTCACCAGATATTGGATGGGAGAATCGAAAGGAAACGACAGCCTGAGATATTAGCGGGGGACAGACAGCATGAAAATAAGTCGTCCTCAAACAGGGAGGACAAGTTTCTTCCAGGGTTACAAATAAGAAAATCAGATGAGCTATACAGAACATAAGACCGGTAGCCTTTGCGTCCAGAAAAACGTGTCAAGATCGAAGGTTGGAAATGACTAAAAAAAGGCTCGTGACGGTTTCAGACCCCAGTACACACCGAGTGATTTGGAAGACCGAGAGATGGGGCTGGCAGTTCGCTTGAAGGAATACTGGAAACACAACGGAGTGAGAGGACGATATATTTATGCTGAGGTCTTCTATCTTAAAGGCCAAGTACTCAGCCATAGTTAAATCCAGCAAACGGGTGCAGTTGTTGGCAAGCCAACATCCCAGGTATTCATCTGAATTGGGCTCCACAGACTGGCACACTTTGGTTCGAAGATCCTTTTTAATTCTGTAGATAGCTTTAGATAGTTGATATCCTTGTACCTAAGTAAACAACTGGGTACCAACATGAAGAAGTTGCGAAGATACATTGACTTATACCTACAGACAGTAAACTGACGAGAAAAATTCAAAAAATGACCCATTCGTGGAAAAACTGTGCTTCCGAGCGCCACACTGAACGACTAATGCAAACTGACAGTTGTCGTTACAAATAAATTCGATCAATGTAAAATTAGGCTTCCGATACTTTTAACAGTAACGTTAAGTACTTGTGTATTACGTTACTCTATCTTAACAATGGTAGTGAGGTTTGCGAGACCGAACAAGGCCATCAAGGATCACATACCATTTGACATAAAAGTGAGGGCTTCATACGGTTCAGTCGTGCCTACGTGGATCATAGTTATTTATTATAAGTTCACACGTTAGCCATTCGGATGGTTCAGATGAATGTTTCAATTTCTTCAGAAAAAACGCGCTACACTAGGATATGAAACCACTTTGCAGAAACTAACCATTCGAGAAATCCATACGAACAGAAATTTATAACCCACGTTCAAATCATAATTATTCTGGAAATGGTTAAAGGTTTTGTCAATAATATAAACGGTACAGTCCTAGTCCTGTTACTGCCAAAACAAGTGAAATTGAGCAGTGGTCAGCAACAATTATCATAGATGGAACTTCTTCCGCTGCTCCACTCCTGGGTGGCAATTTCCCGGTAATCTTAGTACAGTCTACTTAAACAAAGCCACATAACAAAAAAGTGCTGGATCTGATAGGAGTCCAGTTAGAGCTTTCAACAAACACCCAAACCTCTAGATGTTCATCCATCCTTGGTTGAAGCCATTGTTAAGGGTCAACAGCTATGTACTGCAGTGTCCAGTTACTCCTTGGAAGGGCCACGCCAATATGGAGTATGGGTTGCACCAACAACACAGACTTATCGTAATGTTTTCTTACTTTCTATGTAATCATACACTATATCTCTTGGTTCGGGTATGACGTGGAAGAACGTTCTCCTAGGTGACAGGAGCACCACAGGCGTGGTATGGGACCGAGCCGCCCGGATGCATTCTATAAGCAAATACGAAGTCGGTCAAGATATTGTATACTGGCCATTGCGACAATCCAGCAGTGCCTTGTTAGCGTGCGGGTGGATGAAACATGCAAGTTTGAGCATCTACTTATCAAGCGAAGGTGGCGATGTGGTCTTACCAGCACCTTAATTCAACCACCGGTTGTTGCTCAGTTCCTCACGGAAAGTGACCTTCGTTTTATCGAAGGGTTATAATTCATGTAGAGCAGAAGGGGATTCAATATACACAATACTACACAAAAGAGTAAACACACTCAAACAAACGCCAGCAGACGCCTATATTTTGGCTTCCAATCCAACAGCCTCACAGTCACTGAGTCATTTATCAACGGCTACTTAACATGACAAAGTGACATCCCGCAGTGCAAATAAAGATGCATCAATTTGCCTACCTTCTCCGACATCGCTGGAACTTATTAATTTCGCATCATGTGGTGTCATTTACCTTGTAACCACACAAGACGACAACAGTCTTGATATTACCACACACTGTAATTTGATGCATTCAAGAGTGAACTTTAGAATCGATGGAATGTTGAGTACAAGAAAAACTGAGATTAACACCAGCTGTAGTCATTTTCAACACTAGGTGCCAGACAAGTGGACTACGTAGGTGTCAGTCGAAACCATACTTGCTGTTCAACGACTATACAAAATGTTACCGTGGAGACTCATACAAATTATACAAAATACAAGGCGTCAGTGACACAAACCAGAGTAAACTTATGTATGTCGATTCAGTCATCGACTGTTTTCATCTTAAAACAAACCTATTGCTAGCCGTAACCATCCACTCAGATCACATGTTGAGAAACCTACGCAAGTCGTTCACACCATCGGGGGCAGGACTTGCCGAGGTAGGTGGTTACAGTAACATGTGACGAAATACCAGTGACATGTGCATTCCCACCCAAAATAGCGATCTATCGGAACGTTTCCGTGTTGCAGACAGCTGAGAATACACGGAAAGTAAATGCTTGATCACCTTTATGGAGCAGTAAGCCGTTACCGTTATATGGGACTTCACTGTACAACCGTTAGCGGTTTCACTGAGGATCATTGGATTTGGTAATATTATAAGTGATAATAAACCTCGGAAAAGGAATCCATCCGTTCCTCCCTAAAGAGAGCACTCACAATAAAAATCACAAACCAGAACAGGGCATTTCTCATAGGTTTACCGAAGATCATTATAATGGATCTGCAATACCCTACTCTCTGAAGAGCACTGTTGGTCAGTCTCCTCATATCATCTGCTCTTAGAGAGGAAATGTGAGGAAACTTTCACAAGAGAAGGAATCTGAGTGAAAATACGAGATAGTCTACTCTGTGCAATGTGTGTGAATAGAGTGGCACCATAATCCCTCAGTGTCTTCAGAGAGAGTCTGAGAACGGTATAATGCGACAGTGGACAGTGGTGAGTATCCACAGCAGGGCCGTGGGATGGAAATCATGTCCATCTTAACAAACAAGTTCTTGTATTTGACGCTGCTATTGAGAATTTCCAGCTCTGTTATCAGCCAACACAACCTGACAAACAAACGGATCGAGTAGCGTCAATTGTGACGACGCACACAAAAGTCTTCAAGATTTCATATTTTGGAGAAACAAGCGTTGGATATCAGAAATGGTGGGATGCGAATTCCGGCGGAAACCGACGAAATTCGTTCCCATGATTAGCGTGATAAGTTTCACGGTCAGCGCAGGAAATAGGAGAGCATGGCAACTCAGACCGAATTCGATCACGCAAAAAAAGTTCCAAAAATAAAGTTCACAAGACGGGCACAAAATTTCTACGATAGAACATAACGAGCTAAGACATGGAAAACTATTTTCGATGAAGACTGTGCAAAAAGTCAAATGTGTCTTACTTCAAAGCTGCATCCTGACAGGCCTTAAATATCTTATCATTCGGAGCCTGAGGTAGACGCCACCCCCAGATATTGATCATATGATACCTTTTGGCATGCCAGAGGTGGGTGGGCAACCATAACGTCTTCCGATTAGAGCTCAATTCACTATAGCTTGACGATGTTGCGGCAATTCGAGTAGCCATAGCCAGCAACCGCAAATGTCGTCGTCGATATCGACGACTTTTCAACTTGGCACGTTTAGGTTGAGCCTGTAAAATGGGACAAACGTGCAAAAGTGCCAACTGGTATCCAGAAGGGAACTGGCAAAAGAGCACTACTTGTCGTGCCACCAAGAAAACACTCCCGAGGAATAGAAGAGACAAGGAATTAGAATAACAGAATAACAGACAGCTAGATACGTCCGATGAGTTAAGTTCAAAACGCACACAACCATTGAAAATAACCGTGCGTTAGACTTACAGCAACCAATTGTCCTTTGTTGTTGTTGAGTGGTTGTTGAAAGTGTCGATGCAGCCTCCGGGGTAGCCGATTGACGCGATGACTTGCAGCTCGTCGACGAAGACGCACAGGCAATCGCTGTAAACAAGTAATTGCATGGGCTGTAGTCACATTGACCTCGGCCTCAAATGCAGCCAGTTCAGCGGCACGCGCAGTTGCCAGATGAACAACGTTGAAACAGCTGTAATCGCTGCGTGTTTCATCGACAAGTTCTCTGGTAGACATTGGAGCTGGGCTAAAAAAAGTAATGCCTTTTAGTCATTATAAGACAATATGAGGGGAATACAAACTACTAAAGTCACACAGTATCTCAGTAACAGCAAACTGCATACAAGCAAAACCATTACCATACTTCCTACCACTCCAAGCACGTAGTTTTCGACAAAAGAGAACAACTCACCTACGTTCTTCGTTTGATAGCTGCTGGTATGTACTCGCCTCGCAACTACTGTCAACAAGGTTTTAATGGAATGCGTGCTGACCGATCTGGAAATTCGACACGATCTATAGGCCACGCTCTCGCCTGCTGGCGAGTCTGTATTGAAAGTACACCAACCGATTGGACCAGCAACTCTTTCGCGGATCAATTAATCAACGTACCTAAATCTCGCTTGACTATTCATGGTGTAATATTACATGTTGATAGCGCAACTGCGCGAATGAAATTCTCAACGTTGTAGACCAACAGTAAGGGATGAAATACACATAAAATCCCCTATTGTCTTAACTTTAATTCCAAAGTAAAGATGATTCTCGCTTCCTAACACAGTCGTATCAACTTCCGCACCGCACTGATAAATTGGATCGGTCTATGCGTTGAGAGCTAAGCGGACGATTCACACTCACGTTGTTCAGTTTGTTACAGCACATGGCTTAGTTCCAGTTAGGGTACTCCCAGCTCGAGGGATGTCAATACGTTTCCAGGATGATGGGGCTCCGCCTCAAGAAAAGTGACTAACAAGAGCCCCTACCCCAACAATCAGATAATGAATCTTCCGTTATATTACGCTGCACCGAACAACTTTCGTCAGTGTGAGATGAAATATCTTGATTACTATTACACTACTGCTTCATACTAAGTCGACGTGATGTACCTGTCCAACAGTCATCACCAATCGTTATTTCAATTATCAGGAACGCCCAGTTGTTGTACCGCCTTGTCAAAATAGAGTAAGAAGTACAGAACAGTCTACGTTATCATGGAGATGTACTCCAAGTACATTCGTGTACACTAGCAGCTCACACTATATCGAGGAGTCTTGCGTTGCTTCATCATGTGTTCCAACTTCGTTACTTTCAATCCGTGTTGAAACTGTCCGAACCTAGTAGGCTAAGTCATCTGTCCAGCCAATTCAAGTCTGATCAAAGAGTGCCCGATAATCCGGTGTGCCTATTTGTCAGCTGTTCTGCCCGTATCTATTGTTTGACCTGGTGGCCGACTAGTAAATGTAAGTCAAGGACTGTATTGTGATGTTTTCTCTTGTGGATAAATCGTTCAGCAAAAGTTTCCTCCTTGAGAGGACAATCCTTCGAGGAACGATTGTAATGGTGAAGTAGTCTGTGCCCCATAGTTCTTTCCATGGAGCACTTTCTGTCGGTTCCCGAGTGAACGAAGCATTGAAACGAGGTGGTCACATAGACTTCTGTATTTACTTCATTACAGATCGATAGCCTAACCAGATCAGGCAATTCATCTCTACACGGTACACGCGTATCGACTCATGATCCTGTCAAAAACCAAATGACTAGGTTTCTGGAGAAATGCATCAGATAAGTTTGTTATTTATGTCTGATTCCGACATTTTATTATCTCCATTGATCGTCGACCCCCGCGCCCATCAATATGAATGCCACATATAACGTCACTAGCCCTAAATGTAGGTCGTACTGTGCTGGGGTTCCTTCAGTCGATTATGACAACTATAGCGCAGAAGATTCAGACCGTAATAGTCGGATATTCTCATGAATGGATATCGAGGCACTCGAGTGGCATTTTCGAAGGACCCGATACAAAAAAAACGTAAATGGATGTGTGATACCGTTACCACTGGGCACATTTGTTCATTTCAAACAACATGCACCTATCACAATAAAGCTGCCGGTTGTCGATAAAATTAGGTTTTCCGTTGAAAACACGTGTGCAATCGTACAGGTACCAAATGATACAATATCAAAACGCGATTATCAGATTGTGTTCATTGAAAAACTCTGGCGTTGTCTATGATTAACGAAACGGTGGTGCTTTTCAGAAGGATAACCGCAGGTTTTTGTAAGATTTGAGACCATATCTAGCGCGGTTTCCTAGAGCGGACTCGAGTTGTTAAGTTTCTAGGTCACAAGTTGTATTAGGAGATCGTATGAGATCAAATCCTGCTGATGAACATTTTGCGGCGACTAAACAACTGTTATATTATATGCGTATTAAGAAATTCAATTAGATGACACCCCGGAGGTTCATTTACCATGGTTTTAGATAGTGCTGACAGTCGGCTTACACCGTGTTTTAGAAAACATTTACCGCAAACTTATTTGGAACCAGTGCAAAATGCGTTTACCTTTAGGTGACCAATCTTCAGTTAATTATGCCGTCCCAGTAAACATGGGGCGACGAAATAGTTTACGCATACTGAAACAGGATGGCACAGGTGAAAAAGAATGAAGTTGAGTACGGATTTGTTCATTGATCAACGCGAGTTAAGTGACGACAACTTATAAGACACTAGAGTGAAAATCACATTGACAGAGTCTTCGAAAAGTAAACATTCCGAGGCGTCCTCTTGAAATTTCCTCGGCGTTTTTTGAATAGTAAACACAAAACGCAAAGCGGCTCCATTATTCCCATTCTCACTAGCAATCAGATATGATTTTTTACACTTGACGATGAAGCATGTCAGCAGAGTTTGGTCAAGTGTCAAGCCCCATCTCCACATCTGATGGAAGGTTGGTATGGCAGTTATGGAGCAGCTTTGCATTGTGTTCATTATTATTTAACATTCAAAGAACGTCCAAGAAGGTTCAAGTGGACACTTGAGAAAGTTCATTTTTCAGAAACTCGGTAAACGAGATTTTCGCTTTCGTGTCTAATGGCTTGTGGCCGTCAAGCTCGGGTAGATCAATAAACAACCCCACCCTGAAGGGCATTCTTCCTTTCACTTGGTACCGTCGCCAGGATACAAATGAAGGACACATGGCGACAAACTTTCGAGGATGAGGACGTCCAGGTTTTGCTGAAAGAATTTTGCCGTGTACGGGGACGGCATCGCCGTGTACAGCGATTCGAAACCAGAACATGCAGTTCACCTGATAATCATATTGAAGCGTACTCGGAAAGCTAGCCTGTGGATCGATGAAGCCAAGATACAGCTCACTTGAAGTTCGATGACACCGCTCAGGCATAAAGTGGGCCACAAAGAGGTCAGGCTACCGCCAGAGGAACTGGCGAAATCCCAGGAGTGTCCAATGCGTGTGGTCCTTAAACTAGTTTCTCCGACGGACAGTATACTAGGGCTGTTCAGGATTTCAACGCAATCGCTGCTCCACGACACAACTTATTCCGTCAAAATAGAATGTGCGAATGAACAAGTGAAGTGCACGAGACCTTCAAACGCGCCAGAGCGCCGATGCTAGGTTATCACACTTAAACTGCTCAGGATTGGGAAGATGTTTACTGGTGATGCGGTCGGTGCAGTCCTGAAGCAGGAGGATGGGGTCATCTAATGTGCTAGTCGTTTCCTGACAAACACTGAGAAAGAATGTTTAGCGACCGTCTGAACCCTGGATAGGTGGAGGCCATATTTGCTGAGACAAATGGTTGGTGTTGATACCGACCACGAAACCCTTGAGTGGATCACCATCACCAGAGATCCCCAAGTAAAGCTCGCGCGCTGAGCACTCTGACCACTAGAATATGACCTCACGACCCGACAGTTACCGGGGAATGAGAACCACCTGGCCGATTGGCTTTCGAGATGAGGCCCAGAAGATCATGATCAGTGCCAATGGTCTCGTTGTCGTACTAGACCCCGGGAGTTTGTGCGACTACAGCGGCAGGATCCTTCACCAAAGAAGGTCGCAGTCGCCTTTTTGGACTAAATAGGCACTGAGGACGCGGAACTGGAGATATTCGAGGAGCGCTTTGGCAGACTGAATCTGAATCAACCTGGCATACTATCCTGGAAGTCCAATGGTTTCAACGTCCTCGAGACTAAGGAAGGATGTCACGAGATGGCACATAAATGATGCACTAAAACAAACAACTTGCTTTGGCACAGGGCCTATTGGCCAGGGATGAGAAGTGAGGTAATGAAGAATGGTGTGAACAGGAAGTGCAACGGGGGCAACTCAACGAACTAAATGAATGAGGCAATGAACTTATCCCTGCGTCAGAGATCGAAGAGCTATGGTCCGTTGAACTCATGGGGCCCTTCAAGTGACAGCTACTGGCAATCAATTCATTATGCCAATGAGAGAACACCTGTGGCGGTAGAAGCAGTGCCACATAAACGGGCAACGACGATCAACGAGGTGGTCATGCATCGCTTTGCAGCCAACCATAGAGTACCAAAAATGATCATCACGGATGACAGGTTGCGCTTTGAGAATGAATAGCTCAGGAATTCGTGTTCATCTCTAGCCGTGGTGAGCGAAATGGGTGACATCCGTTTCATATTGACGTATAACCTTATTCTATCCTGAAACAACTGTTTCAGATCAAACATAAAGTAGTCACTAAAGTGTAAGGTGAAAACGTAGTCAGTAGTGTGCGCAATATTTGAAGAAAGAATTTATACTCTCCCGGATAGCCAGCAAAAGATAACGCGTGAGATGTGCGGAATTATATTTTCGAATGTGGCAGAGCCCTCGAGTGAACAGTCTCTATCCGGGCAAGCAATGAGGTCGTTTACCTTCTAGGTAGGAGGAGCTCAAGGTAGGTGGTTGTCCAAAGCTACTTTGCAGGACACATCCTGGCAGCTCCTTTCTCTCTCAATAACACCTTATTCCCATTTCCCCTACTCCTGACTGAACAAGGTGTGCGCTTTTCCCAGACTTGTACTCATCGGCGGAAGTGTTTTAGGGTCTATTTGGAGTGGATTTTCATACCAGCGTTTAAACTCGTTTGGAGGAAGCGAATCGATTCTCGCTAAACTGTGATCACAGATCAATGTTTTGACAATTTTTGACCAAAATTCCCGATTTAGACAACTACGATTGCCCTGTCTTGAAGCGAAGCGATAATTCCACACCCAATCATGTATACATTCGTTATT